ATCAAACAACCTCGCGATCAGACTCAACAAGACTCGCTTGGTGGGCACCACATTGTCAGGCAGGCTGACACCCTCAAACACGAACACGTCCCGATCAGGTAGCCATCTCAGTCCGAGAACCTTCACGCTCTCGTCCTCAGGACTGCCGGCCAGCGCGTGAGTTCGATCGAGTACGAGCTCACTGTTGGAAGTGCACTTCGTGAGCTCCATCCCAGCGTCACTGAGGATAGACTGGGCCTCGGTGAGCAGCTCACGAGCACCCTGCTCGGTATCACACCCAGACACAAAGTCGTCCATGTACAGAGAAGTCTGGAGCTCACGGACAGCGCGAGAGGGTGGATACTTATCCAGATGGTACTGGATGGTCGCGATCAGCAAGAACGGCGAGCACGCCGCTCCGAAAATGACTCGCTGAAACCGCATGGTCCGAATACGACCGTCCAACTCCCACAGAAAGCGGAGAACGTCCTGATCTGATCTCCTCACCCGGATCTGCAGGAAAGCTTTCCGGATATCGCCGGTGACCGCGAATCTCCACCGGCGGAACCTCAACAACACCTCACACAAGTTGGGGATCAGATTCGGACCAACCTCGAGACAATCATTGAGCGAAAGACCGTGCCTGTCAGTCGCCGACGCGTCAAACACCGGACGCACGCGCGTGGAGGTGCTACTTTCCTTCACTACCGGCCTGTGCGGTAGGTAGAAAGTGGGATTCTCTGACACGAGCTCCTCTCGTGGCACCTCTGCGATCACCCCATTCGCCTCCATCTCCTTCAGAGCCTGATCATACTCCTCACCCAGCTTGGAGTCCTTTCCAAGCTTCCTCGAGAGACCAGCCAGTCGTACCTCAGCAGCCTGCCTATTGTCGACTAGCTCACCTGGGTCTCTCTTCCACGGCAGAGCTACCTCATACCGCCCATCGTCCATTCGAATGGAATCGCGAAACTTAGCCTGAACCTCAGCCGAAGAATCAGCATCACTCGAATCATGGATCCCTATCCCTTCTAGATCCCAGAACTGGCGGAGACGGCTCTCATGCAGGTCTCCCAGACAGAGCAGTTGACACCCCAGCTGTGGGCCCCTCTGTCCCTCACAGTCACCCACCAGGCCGGACACCATCCAGCCGAGCACTGTCTCCTGAGCTACAGGGCCCCCCTGGGTGCAGTGCACCGCTGGCCTTACCATACTCCAGAAGTAGTCCATACCGACGAGGATGTGCACGTGCAGCGGCTCATCGGGAGGAGGGCGGCCAGCCATCGGGAGGTGAGACAGCTCCGCCATCACAGAGGCAGGCAGGCTGGGCCGGGACAGGGGCGCACAGATCACAGGAACCTCGATGGCCTGCATCGTCACTGAGGAAGGTACATCAGCATTAGCACTCGACAACGACAGCTCGAACACATCACGATCAACAACACCAGAGCTCCTCCCTCCAAACGCAGCATAGGCCACACTTTCTGATCTGACCCACTTTGGGCTCACCTGCTTCACCACATCAGCTGAAACATAGCTCCTATCCGAGGCAGAGTCAAACAATACATTTACTGAGAGCTCCTGACCACGCTTGTCTTTCACTAGGGCTCTCACAAGTGGCAGTGCAGTGACTGCGCCGTCACTACCGCAAGGTAACACTGCATCTGTCGGCACACTAGCACTAACTGCAGTCATAGCTGGGCTGGCCTGCTGCTCAGCCCGCTGAGGTGGGACACTGTTCGATACACGTACCAGTCTGGAGCAGCACACCGCATGGTGCCTGCCACCACACTCTGAGCAGTTCATCCTACATCTGTTGGCCCTGTGTCCGCGCTGAAGGCAGCGGAAGCACAGGCCTGCTTGACGCACTCTGTCAAGCCGCTGAGGCACATTTAGAGGAACAAGAGACGGGCACTGGTCTGACCTGTGGGCCTGGGCACAAAAGCCACAGACCGCCGTTGAAGTAGAGAGTGCTGCTGCTGCTGCAGGGGCGCGCTGCACCCTGCTCCTCTGCTGGCGGGTCCCAGCGGGGCTGCGCCGGGACTCCGGAGCTGATGCAGCAGAGTACGCACCGGAGCGCTCACGACGGCCGATCTCAGAGTCCAAAAACTCCAGCAACCAGTTCAGGTCCGCCTCATGACCCACACCATCCCTCGCCCACTCCATCCTGATGGCAGTCGGCAGTCGTTGTAAGAGCACAGGCACCATCATCACGCCATACGCTTCACCCTGCACTCCCATCGCTTCCAAAGCTCTCACATGCGACAAAAGGTTGTCCTGTAGGGTACGAAGGGCATGGACATCAGGAACGGGAGGAGCAGGAATAGAAAGGAGTTGCTGGATATGGTTGAAGATGATACGTTCCGTCCTACCGAAACGATCAGTAAGGATCTTACATGCGGATGCATAGTTAGGGGCACTCAGTGGCAACCCAGCAATACATGTGCTAGCCTCTCCCACTAGCAGTGATCTCAGATACGAGAACTTCGTTATATCAGGCAAGTCACTGTCATGTACGGACGCTCTGAACATCTCCCAAAAGGCTTGCCACTCAAGTACATCACCCCCAAACTTGGGCAAGTCCAGTTTAGGCAGCTTTACAGTGTGGCTACTCACAGAGATGCCGCCCGATGCAGAGTCAGTCCCTGAACCACTCACAGCTTTCACCACTTTGGAGAGCACGCAGAGTACAGAATCACGAAAAACTCCAGCCTTCTCGATGTCATCCAGCATCTCACTCTCCGACTCGATCATCAGCTCCAAGTCACTCTGTAGTCCATCCAGGTTGTTCAGCCGTGTCTCCAGCTCCTTCTGGATCACTCTCAGGGCCTCCTGATCACACTGATCCGCATCCAGGAGTTCTTGAGCCTTGTTCATGGTTCTTGAAAGCCACCCCTTGGCAGCCACTCGTTTCTTAAACATCATGGACAAGTCTGGGACCAACGCCATGGCTTAGGCGTGAAAACAGCAAGAATTAGAGCAAATGGTCCACAGTAACAGCAAAAGAAAAATCAACAGATCTTGAAACTCTTCTTGGCACAGATCCAAATAACTGAGAGCTCAAAACTCATCAGAGTAAGGTCCAGTACTCACTTCACCAAAGTCAATCACCATCAGCCTGGTGCAAAACAAAGCAAGCTCACAGCACCCCATCTCAACTGGCTGTCACCGGCTTGCACTTACTGCACATCCAAAGGCTCCGTCCCGCGTTTGAGGCACCAAAATGTCACGGAACTCAGCACCAAAAACTCAGCTCGGATTCTTGCAGGCCGTTTATATCGTAATGGACAAAACTGAAACATCACAACTCCAATGTCCACCGGCCAGAACCCTCAAAACCAGCAAAATCACGGCACACCGCCGCCATCAAACCATAACCACGGCACACCGCCGCCAGCAAAACCAGTAACCACGGCACACCGCCGCCATCAACCCGCAACAACCACACATCAGACACAATTCCCGAACTTTCGGGCAGCCGCTCGCCCCCGGCCGTCGGTCAGCTGACCGCCGGAGGCGACCAATAAAAACCCGCAGACGCCGTCTCTCGGCAGCACCGACTGAATCAGACGGTCAGCGCCGATCGAGGCGACCTCTATTCGTCCGCATCACCAATCATTCCCGAAAGAGGCGCCTAAATCAGTAACAGCCTATGCAGATGTCCAAATGAATCATTAAGTGGTTATCTAAAGGCTATATGTGTGTGTGCAAATGTTGGCGATTTGCAACCAGCGAAGCTGCACGGGTCTTTTCTAACTGTTTGTCTGTTTTGAGCTGACCCACATCTGTAGTTATAGATGGTTATAGCAATGGAAAAGAATCAGCACCGTACTGCACAGACTGGTGCAGCTGTAGCTTTGACTATAGGTGCCCGGCTCTATCAAACGTATATCACACGTCTTGTCCTCATTTTCCGTTCTACATACCTACTTCCTGTAGGAAATCAAACGTATATCGGGTATCGTAAACGGTTTCAGCTGTACATACAGGGAAATGCCGGTAATTGCCGACACTTAACTGCCATTTTCGTGCCATGCCATCATGCCATGAGATAACGTAAGAGGCTGCAGTATAACCACACGCACTATACACACACACATATTGATATAGGTATGGTCGAAACGCTCTTTTTCGATCTTCGCTTTATAATTCTGTTTGCACTCTTGCCGTCTGCGTTTTTATTGCATTTGTGATCAATTAAAGGGACCCTCCGGCCTCCCACCTTCAAAAAAGTTTATGAATTGGCATGAAAGTGATGTCGCTCGGTTCAGAAAGAGCTAAAACGAATATCTACCAAATTTCACCGAAAAATATTCACCGGTTTTCAAGATATTAGACTTTTACTTTTGTTTACTTTTTGGGATCTCCGCTGTTTCTAGCGACTTTATTTTAGAAGTGCGGCGTTTGCGGCAGATGTTGCGCGCAAATAGCATATACCACCGCGTGCTACAAAACGTTTTAGTCAAACATTTGAAAATCGTTAGATATCTGCGCTGACGTCACACATTTAGAGGGGTATTCCTAAACATTAGCCCCTCTGAATCAAAATGCTGCAATTTTGAAATTCAATATTTCCGATTTAAGGCATTTCTCGATGTTGTGAGTGCCGAAACCGGTAATTGTGAGCCAGGGACCCCATTTTGGCTATCTCAACTCAAATCTAATGTTAAGGTGGGAGGGTCCCTTTAATTTAGCCGAATTTTCATTTTTAGGAGCTGTTTTGGGACGTGTGGCAGATGTGTACCTGTCAGTTAGACCCATTCTGATTCATCAAGCTTCCTCGCAGGTGCTCTGATAAAAGCATCAATCATCCGCCTGTAAAAATAGCCCCCTCTGTCTGGTTCGATATCTGACTGGCTCGGGTCTCAGGTCATGTCACTCAAGCTCGAATTTGTTTACCTATGTATGTTCTTAGGAAGGCTTCTCCAGTCTCCTCACTATTTCTGCTCGCACATAATAAAGGCTCCCATATTTTGATGCTGACTTGACTCAAAAGCACAGCTTATCGCTCATCTCCCCGACAGGTGTGTGGCGCCGCCGTGCTGGCCTGCGGCATCCGCCTGGTCTACCTGCACTACGGCGACTGCAGCGCCACCTGCTCCACCGAGCTTTACATAGGTGTCGCTGCGGTCGCGGCCGGCACGCTGGACATCGCCCTGCACCTTCTGTTGCTGGGCAGTCTGCGCGGCTCGTGGCCGGCCGGGGCCATCACAGTGACCGTGTGGGACGCTCTGAAGGCGGCCGCTGCCATCTACCTGCTGGTGAGCGCCACGTACGCGCTGCACACGCGCCCGGAGACGGTGGTGTTCGAGCACTACGTGGCCGAGGTGGCACTAGTCGCCTGTATGACGGTGGCGGTATACGGTCTGGCATCGGCTGCGCACGAACAGAGGGCCGCCAATATCGTGGACGGTAGTGATTTCTGAGTGGAGGGTGCAGTGGAGGAGCGTGTGCCATTTGAGTGACAGTGTAATGCGTATTGTGTGCATAGAGCCATGCATAGAGCCTTGTTAAATGTTGAAGGTATTGCGAAATTAGGTAGTGCACTCGGGGGCAGATTGATGTTCCACCACTCCCTGCCCATCGGGCTCCCATGGCTTAGCACTGGCTGCTGCCAGTGTTGCCTGCCCTCAGCACTGCTCAGCACTGCCTGCCAGTGCTGCCACTGGCAGCAGCCAGTGCTGAGTCATGGGAGCCCGATGGGTAGGTAGTGGTGGAACATCAATCTGCCCCCGAGTGTACCTGCTTTTAGGCCTACATGATATATGTATGATAACAATGTGCGACGTTTGAGTTTTATCTGAACCAGAAGCGGCTAATCACAACTGATTAAACAATTACATGGGGATGGCTATGTAGTATTGGTTCATTGTCTCGCTGATTAACCACTTTTTCATTCCTAAGCATCATTTAGGACATAGTCGGTAGACATGGAGTATTTTCCGTTATGGGACTGTGATGTGTCCACTAAGCAGTCGGGAGTGAACTGTGCAGGGCATCCGACTCTGGGCACCATTTGACTCTACGACCTGTGACTTTGACCCGTATAGGTGCGGTCGTTGCCGGACATACACAAGTTCATGTTGTATTGTAGACATTATAGGTACTGAGTCACTAGCTCTGTGCCATTGACCCACTCTGTCACTAAAACTGTTAAGGTGATAGAATAGTCCGTAACGGATTGTAGGCTACGTGCGATAAACGTAAGTATAGTTTAGTGAGAACTCATTGCGTGCAAGCTTGCATGCGATGTGTTTGACATGCTGCGGGCTTGTGCATATATAAACGTACCATATACGTTCTCACTGTTCATTGTTCATTTCCTATTTGGAAAATAGACTGATACGGTTATTGATAGTGATTAGTGTGTACTTTTAAGGTTTCATTTCAATGCAGTAATTAACTCCACCTATATACATTATACACCGTATGCAGCTTGGTTGTGGAATAGCACAATTGCCACTTATTTGCTTCAATAGTCTTGTCTAGAGATGTCAATCGGATACCAACTTTTTGGTATAGGTACCGATACCAAACCGATACCAACTTACTTGGTCAATTTGGTATTTCAATCGTAATGTGTTTGGTATTTTGTTGGTATCATAAACCCTCACTAATGTATAAGAGGCTAAGAAATCGGTAAAAAGTTGGTATTTCCCTTATTTTCCTAAGTTGGTTTGGTTTCGGCATTTTCCCGTGGTTTTAGTTGGTATTTGGTTTGGTATCGGTATTCCGATTTTCCGTGATTGACATCACTAGTCTTGTCATGTACATTGTACAGCAGATAAATAGTATCGACGTATTACGAGGAACACAATACAAGAAACACCTATCAGCCAAACAGCTCAAAAGTATAATCGACCTTGACTGTTGAAATGATACGAGTATGCTCGCGACTCACGAGTGACGAGTCCGTACAATATTGTGCATCCATTGGCAAAGCTGCTCGCAATAACTCGCCTGACAAACGAGGTTCCGAAGACTGGGCACCGCCTGCCTGCATAATCCGTTCTGGTCGAGGAACTCCTCCATTGTTAGACGTTTACCATTCATAGTGCCATTGTCTGATATGTTATCGTTTATTTGCAACCTTAAAGGCAGTTTAACACTCGGAGTTATGCACTGGGACATAAGACCAATGAAATTAACAGGTACCCAACCCATATTGAAGGGAAATATGACTGAAATGACGTTCACCAAATTCTCATCCTCAGAAATGATGCAATTAAATTTTACCGATCCCGGGTGTCACTGTCACGGGTAATTTAATGATTTCTAGTGACAATATTGTCCCGTCATTCAGACCCTTGCTCGATGCGTGACGACTGACGATTTCACCTAATGACGAGTACCCAGATGCCGGCATAACAGCGATTGTATAGGCAATTCTATATTTACGAAACAACAAATCAAATAATTTAGAATAAATAGTAAAACCACCACGATGACGTCAACAGTCTGCAGCTCGTAACTCGAAGAACATACCGAATATATGCAGCAGTAAAAGTAAATAGGTATACACTTGGGAATTGCATTACCGGTGCGCACCAATCAAGGTTGCAGTTTGCAACCGGCTTATCTGAATTATTCTTTGGACACGGACACGGCCATCGCCAACGGTCTTTGACCTCAAATTGTGTACATTTCGACATGAGAATAATGGAGATAGCTATTGCAGACATACAAAATACATACCTACTGAGGCGCTTTTCATTGGAACGGTGTAGAAGGACGCGAAATTTGACGGTGGCTGCGAAATGACTACTTGCCTTTCCGTTATCAAGTAACGCACGTGAGTATTTACATCGCGAGTTATTCATGAATCAATACTCAGCTATGGAGAAACGTCCCTTTCTTATTGTAGGGTTCCAATTGGTACGGATGCACTAAACCACAAGCATACACACATTCTACCATATTAGATGAAAGACACGGCTAACAATTAACACAACATCCTAGCACATTTTCACTTCATCTCCTTTTTAATTATTTGTTTCGCACATATGATTTCACTCACTAAGTGATGTCATTCGCTCATAAGCATAATGTAAATACTGAGATAAGGCTAGCATACTGTGATCGCTTCTAAACAAACACACGTGCATTTCAAAGTCAACTTTTTCTCGTGTAAAATGCACCCCTCTCTTGAATCCCAATAACGTCAGTCCTTGGGTCAGCTCCGTGATCATAATCATAGCAGCACAAGAAATAATCGGCGAACCTTGTCGGCCCGATGACGTCACAATGACGTCACACTTCTCACCGCTCCTCTGGGAGGCCGAGCACTGCGTCGATGGCGTGCACCACACCGTTCCCGGCCGTGACGTCAGGCACGATCACAAGCGCGTTGTCCACCTTCATCGACACTGCCGGATGACCAATGGAAGACGGAAGTGAGACCCGGGCGAAAACGGAACTGACATGGGTGGAGAGGTACTGATGATGTTGCCGAAGAATGTTAAAATATTGATAGCGGATTCGCACTACTGCAAGCAATCAAACGCAAAATCGTTTCAGTTTCGCACATAATTTGCTGACAAGTTCCGAAAGCCATTGACCACCTAAGGTGGAGGGGGAGGGAGGGAGGGAGACAGAGGGAGAGAGAGAAAGAGAGAGAGAGAGAGAGAGAGAGAGAGAGAGAGAGAGAGAGAGAGAGAGAGAGAGAGAGAGAGAGAGAGAGAGAGCTGGAGAGAGGTAGACAGACAGAAGACAAAGAAAGGACAGCATAGTAGATACTCAGCATCTTATTTACGTCCACTGCTCACCTGTGTCGCTGAAGACGCGCACGGTGGATCCGGCCAGCGTCTCCAGTTCCTGGAACGGCTGCAGGCCGGACGAGTACACACTGCCGACCAGCACGTGCCCGAGCAGCAGCTGCCGCAGCCGGCGACGGTCGCGCAGCAGCCGGCGCAGCTGCTCAGCCGGCAGCTGCGTGAACGCCACGTTTGTGGGAGCCAGCAGCGTCAGCGGACCGGCTGCCGAGGGAGGGGAAGGGTCACTTTTTAGTCTGTGTCGGGCGGTAGTTACTGTGGAATAGAATTCATCGCTTGTTTATTGCATAAACGATCCATGGAGCACCCCATCGTCTTAATCACGCAAGTGAAGATTTGATAATGAAATATTTAAAGACGCCGGAGCGGGGAAAATTAGCAAGCATGTGGCTGATGGGTGAAGGTAAACTTGACAAGGCACACCAACTGTGGGTCACGCAAACGCAGCAAACGGCCCTTCGGCCCACACCTTGCACCTTTCACTAGTTCGTTTCTCGAAATCCTCCCTACCCTCCGCATGCCACGTTTTTGGTAGGCATCTACTTTGTTATGCAATCCAATTATTCATTTTATATATTACCGTGTTTCATTACCTATATCATCATTGATAACGTGTAATCGCCTCAATTTATTTTACACTTCCATAGCCGTATTCCTCCCCCTCCCCCCGGCAGCCACCGACCTGTGGTGTCCGCCAGCAGCTCCTGCAGGCCGGCCAGCTTGACGGCCTCTATGAGCACACTGAACCTGCCGCGCGGGTCCCTGCTCAGGGTGCGCACCAGGTCGGCTGGCGGCGGCGCCAGCACGCCCTCGATGAAGTGCACCAGGCCGTTGTCAGCGGCTAGCTCGGCGCGCACCAGTCGCTCGCCGTTGGCCGTCGTGATGTTGGCGCTGCCGTACACGTTGTCGTAGGTGTCGTAGCGGTTGATGCGCAGGTGCGAGCCTTCGAGTGTCCTGGCCAGCAGCTCGTGCTCCATGTCTTCGAGGAGGGCGTAGCCCCGCAGCACGTGGTACTGCAGCAGCTGTGACGGGAGAGGGGGCGGAGTGAGTTAGTCCGGAGTGGCACGGTAGTCGAGCCGATGTAATCAGATATTCAAACACCTGTTAACATTATTACCGTAAGCAGTTATATCGCTAAGTATGATGATGCAATGATGCTATGCTGATGACGCGAAGTTCGTAATACCGCTAACTTATGCTAGCTTTTGTTACATATCGTAGATGAATGAAATAAAACAACGCAAATCTACATACAGCAACACTGACATCAGCGGACACCACCGCCCTGCCGGGTGGCTGAGCTGCCGCCTACCTTGAGCAGACTGTCCTTGCCCATGGTATCGAGGATGGTGTCCACTCCGCCGAGACGGTGCAGCAGCTCCCCCAGGGCCCGCTCGCTGGGAGCGAACAGCGTGTACGGACCTGGAGCGGACGGACCACGACATAGCATGGTTCAGCACATGGCTTGGTAGTGTGTAGGTGGGTAACACGAGTACATTAGGTTTGTTTGTTTGCCAATGTTGCCTGGCTTCAATCCATGTCTATATACGGTCAGGCCTGGCATCTTTTGCGTAATCAGTGTCCTCGCCTTTACTGTCCGTGTTGTTCTCGGTATGAGCTACCGCGCAGCACGCCATGCTTGGCAGATGTTTGTAGGGTGATGGGCTGTAATTATAGCCATTTTCACCCATGCGTGGTATGCTGCGTTTTGTAATCTATCAAAAAAGTTCGGAAGAGCCACCTGACTGCCGACAACAGGCGTCGTA